TAAAAGCGTTTTGAACACTATCAAATCTATTCAATCAAATCCATATGAAGTCATTCATTTCCACTCAGCCTTGGATTGGCTTAACCTGGAAAATGCATCTATTGCTGTTGCTGTTTTCATGGTGACAGTCAAGCTTCTAAATCTAATTCGTTTTAATCCACATGTGATATACCTGTTTTCATCTTTTCGGCAGTCTGTGGGCTATCAGCTCTCGTATGTGTTCTTCTTTCTGATCGTCTTTAATGCATTTGTCGTAACAGGTATGCAGTTATTTGGTGGTATAGTCCTTGAGTATTCAAGTTATCTTAATGCCGTAATGTCACAATTCGAATTCTTGTTAGGAAAAGCGGTTCCGTTACAAGCTCTGCGGAGTGACAAACCCTTTATGGGTCCTACGTTTGTATTTTTTTTCTGTCTATCCACTACTATTTTCCTAATGAATATGTTAGTTTCTATACTCAATGAGTCCTATGGTGACGCCAAAGCAAACGCCGAGGAAAGCGCAGAAGAGCTTGAAATGGCGCGCTTCATTGAAGAACGTGCAAAGGAAATGTTTCATGAAGGGAGCAGTCGGACGGAATTTAGGTTATTTTGTGATGAGACAACTTTTGTTAACATGTGCCTTTTTGAAGCAGAGCCCTTCTGTTTGAATTCTGAAGCTATTGTCCGGAGCACAGAGCTACGAATGGAAAACGTGGAGAAAAGATTGTTTGCGATCACTAAACGAACAGAGAGCATGAAAGGTGATCTCTTACAGGAGGAAAATGACTTTATGAATCTCCTGCACACAATAGCAAATTCGTTTGAACACGTTTCAGACAGACAATCGGAGGTTGATCCCTGAAATAGAAAGTCCTCCTGCTTATTCTTATATTGCACTTACGAATGTTGCTTTCAAAGGTATTCAATCTTATTGCGGATCTAAAATCTGGCGATAGTTTCTCCATAACCTAGGCCCATTGGGTTCTTTAACCCTTTAACTCCCAGATCAAATTTTTTATTCTCCTTACTGTCGACCATACAATTCTTATAATATTAGTTTAGAGAATTTAGTATTGGATCAACTAGTTATCCTCCACTTGATATTTTTCTTTATTGTCATCACTTTTCTGGTTGATATTGTATCGAAATTGTTAGGAGAAATTCTGTGTTGGTCACTCATGGGAGTTAAAGGTTAATAGGTTTTGCGACTGAGATGATTCATTTTCTGCTACATGCAATCGTCAGAAGTTGTGAAGTGAAAAATTCGCGAGTCCAACTTACCACTGATTTTGTTCTGATCGACAAATCTTAAGAATCTGTAATGTTTCTCTGTTGTCAATAGGGCTACTCGTAGATGAAATATAGTTCACTTGAGGTAGATATCCCGACAAAGGGCATCGCGAGGGAAAATGAGGATAGAAATATAGACAGCGATGAGACTAATTGAATGGAAAAATTACCATCGTTTCACTCCCGGTGAGAGCTTTTTTGTTGGCGAGTTTTGCTTTCACCGATATCATCTCTAAGAAATATGACACCTTTGTGCCCAAATGAAAAACATGGATTTAAGGATAGTTTTTGTACATCATGATTCTGTTTTTTATTACAATAAATCAACTCTTAGGTTACAATATAGCTTTTTTAGAATTAACAAGCGATTTCTGGAAAAATGATAACGTTGAAATGACACTGTGTCTTAAAATTAATGTCAATATCAATAAGCTAAAGACGCTTACCAGATCATTTTACCTCGACACTGTTCTCATGAAATTTATCAAGGGCGTTTTAACATTTTTTCTCAGTTAGTTGACTGTCAAATCCAACATAATTTGAATATAGACGGAACCACATTGGCCGTAAATGACAACATCAACTGGTACATGACGTCTTAAGGTCATCTTGATAATGTGACAGAGGACACGAAAGTCACTAAATACAGTGTTAGCGTTTGTCCTCCAAAGAAAATTTTGAAAGACGAGAAATGATAAACTATTAAAAAAACACTGCTTACTACAGCATAAGGGCCTAAATAAATTCCTTTATACACGCGCAAAGGCATTTTCTATCATTTATTTTAGTTTTTTACACAATCATACTCGGAAAAAATGGAGTTGTTTTAACAAAAGTCAAAATAAAGATCTTCTAGTGAGATTTCTACAGAAAGATGCCACTGGGGAAGAATAGTTTTCATGTTGTTCTTGAAAAATTTACCCTTTCCGTCTCCTCAAAAAAGCGTCCGTCCCTGAATTCTGGTGGAATTTTACAGCTTAGTATCTTCCTCTTCGTCACCTTTTACATCGTGTGAATTGATATCAAGAATAGACATAAAAATCACTGATTAAGAAAATGTCTTTTTTCGCAATGGCTAAAGACCACGCTAGTATTTTTACCTGCAGATTAAGTCGAATGAAATTGAGAATTTTGAACGTGGCAAAGAATAAAGCAAATGAAAGAGCAGCATGTTCCATTTCAGTCCAAAAGATTGCGAACTGAAAGCGTACTGTTACAAATGGATTCCTTCGCACTTCGTGGATACTGTCATGCATAAACTTAGCTTTTATAATGTAAAACACAATTGCTAGCGAGGCACTCACAGAGAAGTATCGTGATATATACTGATACCTTAAAAATAAATACCAATAACACAATAGTTAAAAGCTGCATGCCATAGTTTGAAAATTAAACAATTGTATGGTGTCAATCCTTTCGTAAGTAAGCCCAAATTCGAAAGGAAGAACTTCGTAATGGTATGTGATGATGCTCACTAAGTTAATAGTCATGTTTAGGACTTGAAATTTAAGCAGAATTGCCCTTGTTCTTCTATCAATCCAGTCCTTGTCGTTAACAGCCTCCATCATACGGATAGCAGTTGGTTTATAGTATTCCAAATCGAGAACGCTTCCTCCACCGCCATGTATGTGATTTTGTGCCCAGGAAGGAGAGTTATTGAGTTCCTCTGCAGTGGAATAACGCCAAGGCCGGACAAAATCGTGATAAATTGTTCCAGCTAAGCTGTGAGTCTGACAAGTGAACCTAGTAAGGAAGAAAAAGGCCTGTTGTATCCTCCTCTGACATCGAGCAAAAGTCGTAGCATTTTTGAAACAAGTTGAGCAGAGACTACACATTAAAACTCAAACCTTAAGAGATTAACGAAGTACTTCTGAAGATGATCGTCATTTTTATTACACAACCAATTTCTACTTTCGACATACGCAAAGTACGCAAATCTATCACTTTAAGTCTCTGTGGAAAATCATTCCATTTCTCTCGTTACGAACATGATAAAAAGGGTGAAAACGACAAATACCTTAATTTATCCTCAACTGTCGAAGACGAGGCATTCCAATAAGCATGGAAGCTGTGTAAGCTGTTGGTAAATCAGGAATAGAATAACTTTGTAGACGTTCATCATTTCGGGAAATCTGGATTTGAACTTCACCTGTACTGATAGCATATATAATTAAATTGTAGCTTAAAAAGGAGTAAACGTGAGGGAGTCCGCAGACTTCAAATTAAATTTTCAGTGGGTAAAACTTCACCGCGAATTTATATTCAATCCAATGGGTTGAAGTATAACTAAAGAAGAAAGAAATTTTTTGTTATGGCAAAGGGAAAGATGAATGCAAAGAAGTTTTCCGAAAATTCTCAATCGTCAAGACATATTTTTGCACAAACCTTGTAGAAACACGCAAAACCGAACGTTGTTGGCACGCGTGGCTTTAGTCATCAGGTACGTATGATAATCCACCAGGTAGAGCGTTGCCAGTCACGTTGACATCCTTAGTAGAACTCTCAGTTCCGTAGATTTTAGCAAATATGCTTGCCAATGTCTCCAAACTCCGGTTGTTATGGTCACATCGTATTTGCGTGAGCTGTTCTCGTTGGGTTTTACATTCGCAGTTGGACCCAACGCTGATTGATTTCAGGACGATTTCTTTTTCCTAGGTGAGCAAATTTGAAAATCGTCTGATACCATCTGTGGTTAGAATCTTATTGAGTCGTATATATCAATATGGCAGTGAAGATGAGAATAAAAAAATCTTTTGAAGAACTTGGGACGAAACCCCACAGCTCATTTCATTGCTGCTGATAGCATCTGACAGCTCCCACAGGTCTATGGTGTGATAGCAGCGCTGTTTCTCTCTGAAAAAGAAAAATTGATCCATCGGAGCGTGACTCGGAAAAGAAATTAAAAGATCATCTCTGAATGCAGAGATGTCTTACTGTATAATTTAGCCAGGTTTTCTTT